TGAATGATGAAAGATTAACTGAAGGAGGAGGTGGTTTTGGTGTTGCAGGTACTGTCGTTAGAGGTTTTGGTGTTGCAAGTGGTTTAATTTTATCTGCTTTGATTTTGGATGATGAAGTTTTGGAATTCCTTCCTTCCTTCATTAATTCTGGATGTATTCTATTCATTTGTTTTAAATATGCTGTATATAAAGGTTTAATATACTTTCCCGCTTCGAGTTTATGTTGAAGGATGAATTCCAAAAGTTGATCTTCATTTAAAAGTCGGGCTGAATATGGTTTAACTAATGAATCATAAATTAAAGCTTGTGCATCATTTATGGTCTGAAGGACCTGGGCGTTTTGCACCTTTTGTTTTTGCTTCTTTTGCTTTTGCGGCTCAGGATTATATAATTTATATAATTCATCAATATCTTCTTCTGTTAATACTTTATTTTTAAAATCTTTCAATTGTTTCAGTTGTGATTTAGTTTTTCCCTTTGAATATTCATTATTTTTAATTTTGTCTTTAATTTTAGAAATTATTCTATCATGATATTTCAAAATTTCATTTTTATAATATGGATAATAATATCCCATATCATCACCCGTTATATTATTATTATATTTTTGGAGATATGATTTTAATTCATAATAACTAAGAATTTTTTGATTAAGTACTAAATCATCAATTAAATTTTCTAAATCTGCGTTATCCATTTATATAAAAATAAAATAAATGTTTTAAGGGTGCCCACCTCTTTGAATCATAGTATCAAAAACATCATTAACGGTTCCTTTTGTCTCTTCTGTGGCATTTTATTAAATAAATGGCATACAACATCCATTTTCACAACACACAGCCTTAGTGTGTGCTCCTGTTAATGCAGTCTTACCAATTGTTAAGCGAGTCATTGACCGTTTTTAAGTTGTAAATTAATATTCTGACCATCAAATATCACTTTATCATTTATTATATCCAAATAATTTTTAGGTGTTAATTGTTTATTTTGTCGTAAACTAACTCCTTTCATTTTTTGTGCAATCTTTTTAAAATCACTTCCATCAATTGAACCGTTGAATGATGTATAACACTTGGGGCATAAAGCAACCATGTTATCACCTTGTTTCTCAATTGCTAAACCCAATAACTTCTTCTCATGTGCTTTTTCTTCAGCTTTATTCTTTAATTTAGGTTTAAATTTCTCATTAAAACAAAAGAAATCAAAAGGTGCGAATTTGTAAATGTTTTTATCATAAAATTGTTTATCAGTAACAATTGCTTGAAATGCTTGAGTGTTAGGAAGATTTGGGTCGCCAGCGATTGCCCAATAAGATGAATCAGTATCACCTTCAATGAAATGAAACGATTAACATTCATGCATTTATACATAAAATCATAAATGAAAACCAAATACCAGTATTTTGCGTTATCTAAAGTGAAGAATGCCTCTTGTAAACATGTATCACATCTATAAAATCTATCTTTAAGCATCACTTGATACGTATCTTCACCTATTTCTCTTATGTTTTTAAACTTATTTGACATACATGCAACGCGTGCCTTCTGTGCATTCATTATTTTAGTCTTTGCGTAATTTTGTGTATTCATTGCATCGTAACCATATGATCCATTAAGTGAAATCTTGCAAAATAAACTTTTTCCTTTATTTCCTTCTAATTCAGCCTTTTGTCTTTCGTTCATAAATTCGTTCGCAAATTCATTAAAGCAAGTGTTTTTCGTAAATGTTAAAATTGATTTGAATATCATCAATGATAAAATGAAATCTGTCTATTAGATACCAAAGATAATAAGAAGAAAATGGTTGATATTGGTTGTGTGTTGATGCTAACTGAGTTAATTTCCTCTGTTTCTGGTCAACTGGTAGATTGTTTGATTTCATGTAATTATACATAAAACTACCAATTGTTTTTTCATCTGTGATAATATCTAAGTTTCTTATTATTGGTAAAAAGTTTATGTAATCATTAATGTATTTTTCATCAATGTGACCCTTTACTTCAGCCACGAATAAAGTATTTTTCTTTCTAATAATTCCCAGTGCTTTTGCTTTCTTTGTTGCTGTATCACAAATGATAACACCATTCAATCTTCCCGGCATATACATTTTATGGTCAGTATATTGAATGAAATCATGAGGATTAGATGAAAATGATGAAGGATATAATGAATTAAAATCAACACCAACAAAATGAGTCATAATGTTGGTGGTGTCCTCATTTGATACAGTTTTAGTTTCTGGATTATATGAAAGTTTATTAATGTGCGTGATTCCTTTAAGATTAACACGATGTTGAACATTTTGATAGACCACCAGTAATTCCATTACGGAGAATGTGATAAGCTTCAACTGAATCTAAAGTCATTGGTAAATTATTTTTTAATGTGTAATTTCTTAAATTGATTCCTTAAACGTTGAACATCTTTCATCTTTATTTGATTTTACGACATTGCAATAACAACACATTAACTGACAATTTTCTTTGGTATGTGGTTTTTCATTATCGATTCTATCCAATGTTGGTTTATTGCATATGTAAACGCTTTACCACACATTTTGCATTTAGATGAAAGGATTAAATCGTGATAGTATTGATAGTCATCCATTGAAACATTGTTTTTAGTATCCTTTCTGCTTTTTCATCTTGTTTCTTATATGATTCAATTTTATATTTCCAATACTTTTTCGTTAATTCAAAACTTGATTCCACATTTTCTTCTTCTGGATATGTTTCGTTAGGATTGAAGTTCTTATATGCTAACGCGTAACGAATCATTGATGCATTCGATGATAAAGAAAGATTATGAAGCATGTCAATTTTATAAACAAATGTTTCTTCAATAATTTTATCAATTGGGTCAATCATAATTTCAACGTCTTTATTGCAATAATGAATAAAATATTCTAATCTATTCTCAAAATTTTTAGCATCATTGAGATATATTTGATAATCTGAATCGGATATAGTTTCTTGAGTTAATGCTGAATAAAATGAATCTTTCGTGAATGGTTCCTTTTTATATAATTCATCTTCGTAATTTTCCCACGTGATGAATTGATAAGGGAAAAAGGATTTAACACGTGATTTATTGTTTCCGAAATCTTGAGTGAATTGGTCTAATGTCCCACCCGCTATATAATTTCTGATGTCAATAAATCTTAATTCATATGGACAGTTTGTTTTCTTTACAATGATTTGCTTAAATTGAGAAGATGAACCCAGCATTGATTTTATTTTCCATTTTGCAGTGTTTAAATCACGAAGAATTAAATTTAAATCAAACTTTCCCGAATTAAAACCTATGATATTCACTTTATTAAATTCTTCATCTAAAAGCTCTTTCATGCTTCCTTTTGTTTCTCATTTAATGTATGAGACAAAGTCCCCGCCGTTTGGTCCGTTTGCGGCTTCATTAATTCTTCATATTGTTCAATATTTGATTTAGCAACTAATGAACAGGTTGAAAATAAAAACTCAATCCAATCAGAAATAAAAGAATCACTCGAAGTTAAGCAAAAATTCCTCGTAAATGTTTTATCACGGTCTACGACCTCGCCGCTTTGCGGCTTTATTTTGACAGTTGATGATACCATAAATGGTTTTAAGTAAGCGTTCAAAGTTGCACATTCAGAAAGTTGAAGTTCTTCTTTAGTCTCTAATGTTTCGAAGTCAAAAGTAATATAATATCTTGTTGGTTTATAATATTCCTGCAAATTATGTGCTAATAGCCATTGATATATCTTCTGTTTCGTGATATGTGGTGCATATGGTTGTTGTGTGTTTTGCAATTGAACGTCTTGAATTAATCTTCCATTATTTTCTTTACATTTCTCACAATGTTTTAAAAATCTTCTTTGGTTTTTCCTTTCTGGATCATCACGGATAGAATAAACTTCTTCTTTGCAATATGGACAAACTTTATAGCCGGTGAGTGCTTCAACGTCTGTTATTCTGTCAGCGTGAAGTTTTCCACATGGACTCTGTGTTAATAAAATATTTACTGTTTCAAATTCTGGATCTATCATTATTGATTCCACTAATGGAAAGTCTACCTTGTTAATGTCTACGTCTTCTGGTTGAGGGTCACAATAATAAAAATCAATATTAACGTTTAACATTCTTGCTAACCTCTCACTTTCTGATGAAATGTCAAACCCTTCATATGCATCTATTGCTTCATTTAAATAGCTTCTACGAGTTTTAGGATTAACACCATCAGGAATGTTATAGAAGCGTTTAAATAACCTTCTACCTTCTGCTCTAATTTGATTATCATTCATTTTAGCTGTTCCGTTTTTGTTCATTTATGTAAGAATAAAAATTAAAAAATAAATAAAAATAAAGTTTATTTTTTTAAAGTCCAGGGCTAAAGTCCATAAAATGAATTAAGAACACATAAATTTTTATCATCGCGACGTGACGAATACATTTTAATTTACTCAAGAATGCGTACCCTGATACATTAAATCTAATTCCTGTCTTATTTAATTTCACAACTTTGAAAAGGAATGTATGAATAGCTATAAAATGATGAGATGATGTTTTATGGGTTGCTTCCATTTTTTCTGAAATAAATGAATAAATATAATGCTTATACGTTTTCATATCTTTTATGTTCTTAATAATGAATGGTATAGACCTTTCAACTTCATCTTCCTTCGGTGCTGTTCTTTCATATGAAACATTATTGGTATCTTCAATAATGAAACCACAATCGCATAAAATTTTATATGTACCAATTGTTTCTTTTGATATTTTATCTAACAAATCAAAAACTTTATCAACACCTGTGCATTTATTTAAATAATAATTTGTGTAAATATCATGGTCTTCTTTCTTAATCGTATTTGTTGCATATGTTACATTTTTCAGTGCTTTTTTGAATTTTTCAGAATCAAGAGGAGGTGAAAGTAATATACATGGATAATCTCCATCGTCAATAAATTGTAACTTATGTTTATGAATAAATTTAGTACCTTCTTCTGAAAGTGTTTCGTCTATTTCACCATCTAATAAATTTTGTGTTGATTCTGAGACATAATTTTTATATCTTTCTTCATGAGATTTTTGAACTGCTGATTCTGAAGCTGGGATATTCATTAAACCCTCTACTTCATTTTCATTATATTTTTCAACTTCTCTTAATTCCTTAATTTTTTCATCTATTTCATCTCTTATTTTTTCCAGTCTTTCAATTTCATCATATTCATCATCTTTAATCCGTTCTTCATAATATTCAGGGAAAACATCAGGTTCTTTAGGTTTTTCTTCAGATGTGGGATATAAGAAATTTATAACATCATCTTTATTCATTTTTCTATCATAATCAAACTCATTTAAAAACTCCGCGAATTTTTGACAATTTCTTAAATAATATTTACTAACCTCATAACCCGCTTCCTCTAATATATCCTTTATTTCCTCATTTGTGAATCCCAATTTTTTAACGTTGTTAGTTTTGACACTCATTTTCATACAAATTAAAAAATAAATTATTCAAAAATGTAAGACATGAATTTTTAAAGTTTATTTTTTTTATTTTTTTATTTTTTTTTATTTCATTATGTATGGGTTTAGTGTAAATGTCTTACAATTTTGAAAATTTTTTAAATCTTGATTTATTCAAAAACGTAAGAATAAAAACCGTAAGAATCATACATTTTTTACTTCATATGTAAAAAAAAATGATACAAAATCACTCGATATTGTATGAATTCTTACGTTTACAAAAAAAGTCACAAAACCCGCACTATATACTACTAGAGTAGGAGATGAGACAAATTTAAATTTTTAAGAAATATTTGGAAGGGCGTAAGATACGCCAACTTAAATATATTATCAAATGAGAGAAAATCACTCAACAAAAAAACAATTCTTTCAAAAAGTTTGACATTGATCTTTCTAATACATATTTTTGGAAGGGCGTAAGATACGCCAACTTAAAAATATTATCAAATGAGAGAAAATCACTCAACAAAAAAACAATTCTTTCAAAAAGTTTGACATTGATCTTTCTAATACATATTTTTGGAAGGGCGTAAGATACGCCAACTTAAAAATATTATCAAATGAGAGAAAATCACTCAACAAAAAAACAATTCTTTCAAAAAGTTTAAAATTGATCTTTCTAATACATATCCTATGGAAGGAGTTTACATTCTCAAAATAAAAACCAGTTCAAAATCTTATTATTCCTTGAATAAAAATCATTTAATTTCAAATCCATTCCAAATCCTTAAATCTGTATTAAAATCATTTTGCCAACAACCAATACAATACAAATTACATTTCCATATATCTTCTTGTCCATTTTAATTTTTTATCTCATTTTATTTAATTTTATTTAAAGCATATAGACATCGAGATCCTTTACACATAGTTATATAAAAGTCAAATACATAATAAATTCTTAATTCTAGAGATATCTCAAAATCTCATTTTTTTAATTTAAAATACCTTTCATTTTTCACAGTACGATCACAACAAACAAGCCATTACTAATTAACACATATAAGAAAAATATCAAATTACAAAACAACTTTCAATATCATTCGCATCAAATTCTATTTTTTCATAATTATCAACTACATGTTATTATATAATATATGTCGGCGCATATTCCACTCTATACAAGTGTCAGACACACTCACACAAAGCTGTGAGATTCATACCTCTATCAGTAGGACTTCTCAAATCAAGAACACATATGTTTCACTATCGCACATCTGTGTAGGATCTAATTAACCCTTTGGACTGGTACTTCAAAATTTGATAATTTGATAATTTCATGTGATATCATCATTTGCCTTTAAAACAACTGTGCGTTAAACTGGACACGTTTCTCTATCATAATGCAAAATATCAAAGTTTGGGAGATTCCCAAAGTGTCTGAAACTGATCATAAGGGTGAAAAACCGTTTTCCAGAAGTTGGGAACGTAGGGCATTTTTTCAATCTCCGAATTTCAATATTTTTTTCAACGGACGTTTATTTTATATGTTTGCTTCTTCTATCAGACATGTATTAATATTCTCATGCTATGATTTTAATTCAAAATTGATGTATTAATTGAAAGGAGTTCGATTTTTCTGAGAAAAGTATTAGATATGAACTTAATTCTTCTTTATTTATTTTAAGTGATTCACAAGGTGCATTATTATTTTATATCGTTAACTCTTTCGACATTCTCATTTTTCATTCAATTTTTAGCCATCATTCTTATTAATGGATTTTGAAGACACTGTGAGTTTTAACACCCAGCCAAACGATCCAACGGCTCATCTTTGCCATGATGAATACCAAATCGTCAAGGATATTGAAGAAAACAATGATCCATTTCAAATTTCATCTCCAATACAAGAAAAACCAAATCTCTTACAGTTTACAGCAGCAAGCATACTACGAGAGTTAGATAACTATCATGAAGACATCATAGAAAGGCCTGATGAAGAAATTTGTTCTGTATTCTTTACACAAGGAAGGAATTTCATCCGATCAAAGAGAATTGACAAAATAGACGACATACTAGGTAGCAGCAGCTCAGATGAAGACGAAGATGAGGCTACATTATTAAGATTACACGGATTAATTGGAGAAAACAGTATTTTCATTAACCAACAGCCATTCGCTGATGAAAACACATCAAATCAAATACCAGAAAAGTCAGAAGGAAAAGATGAAAATCAAAATCATGAAACAATAGATGAAAATAGCGGAGAAGATGATAAAACGGAAGAAGAATCACAAAGCTCATCAATAGACTCATCAGAAGAACCAATAATCTTAGAAATTATTCAAGAATCTGAAATAAATAACAAAAAAGAAGAAAACAAAACAGAAGAGACACAACAATCTTCTACAGTACCTAAACCAAGAAAGCCTCTTATTCGTATAAAGATTCCTGAGAATTATAAAGAAAAAACTGAAGAAGAACATCAAACAACAGATGAATCACAAGAAATTCACAACGAATCTTCTCAGGAGTCGACTTCTGAAAGTTCCCAAGATATGTCAGAGCCAAACGACCAAATAAGCGAAGAAAAACCATCGGGAAGTTCATTGGAGGTCCGTAAAGTGCAGACACAAAAGAAAAGAGCGTTGCCAAACGAATCAAATATGTTGGTAAAAGATGGAAAGTGTTACACATCAAAAATAGTAAAATATGGTCTAAAGAGGTGGTTGTATGAACATAAAAATCATCCTTATCCGACTGCTCGTGAAAAAGATGAATTATGTTCAACATTTGGAGTGACAAGGAAGTATTTGGACACTTTCTTCAGGAACTCAAGACTTAGACAGGATTTTTACCCAGTGAAAAGGAAACGTCGCATTTGAATTTTGGATTTATTATTTTATTTTTGTTATTTTTTCATGATTTTTTAGCTTCGTTTGATCTGATATAAACTATCAATTTTATCTACTCATTCCGTTTTTTATTTGATTAGATTATTATTTTTTTAAAAAGGGGGATTTACTTTAAATAATATTTGGGACACTTTAAACAGCCAAACAGAGTTTTTCAATTTTAACATTTATTTTCAAGCTACCCGGAGGGTGACCGCTGCCACTGTCCATACGGGCTTGAGAACATTCTTACGCGCACACCTGCTTATATTGGGACAATCAAGTGATAGTGCCATACATAAGCGTGCGTAAAATCCTTATTTTTTAGAGTTATATTTTATAATATTCGAGAAACACTATTTGGATTTGATTTGCTTCATACTTTACTCAAACTCATTACTATAATTCGTATTTGTCCTTTAATTAAATTTTGATTTTTGAAATTTAACTTATTTGCTTTCATCAATGAAAAATCAGATAACAAAGCTGTCATATCATACTTGTACATCTACTATTTGGAAGGAATGTTCTGAAATTTGAATATTTTTTCTTTATATTTTAAAATTATATACTATTTCACTTAAAATCCATCTCTTTAGCATATAGAGCTTATGAATATCTTATTCTTTCTTTGTGAATTTTAATGTAAATCCGAAAAAAGTAATTAATGGTTTTTCGTAATTAAAAACATGATCACCTAAATATCATGACTAAACAAAAGATATACATCAATTCATTTTACTATTTTGCTAACAAAATAAATTTTATATTCTTCTAGCCCTTGATAACATAAATATTGTAAGGTCTTTTGGAAATAGTAGTTTAATGTTCGATAACTTATCCGTATAGATTGTAGATTCTCTTTCGTAATGATAATAACAGATAGATTCGTATCCAAATCTTAAATCAGCATCAATAATTATTATTCTGTTTGATATATGATGTACTATATTGTCAAATTCCGGAAAATCATCAAATATATCGATAAATTTTCTATTTGTATCTTCTTTTTGAGAATCAAAGATCAAATGCTTGATAGGATCAGTTTGCGTTAGCGCATCTTTAAGTTCATGATCTTGATTGTAGAAATAACGAATAAGTAACTTTTCATTTTGATCTTTTAATTCAGGCGTTGTAATATCAGGCATTTCCCAGTGATAGGAATTATCACTGTACTGAACTCTATAATAGAGCCTATCATGAATGATCTTATGAGCAGTAATTCTAGTGATATATTTGCTCATTTTTTAAAAAATTTAGTTAGTTCCCTGACAGATTTATTACAATTTTATTTTTAAGGATTTCCTAGCAAAATCGAATTTAAACAATGAAACAAATCTAAATGATTTGGAAATTTTGGCCTATTTCCATTTTTCCGAAAATTATATCTCAAATTTTTTGAAGCAAAGAAGAAAAAGGAATATGTAAAAACAACATGGTGGATAATTCAAACACAAAAACAATTTAAAAAAAAACAAAAAAACAAAAATATAATATATATAATAAAATAATATACAAAAATAATCATATAATTAGTAGATCAGTGGATACCATGACCTTCTCAGCTGCATGCCTCTTCATAACCACCGCCAAAAGCCCAAGTGTTGCAACAATAACTAAAATTACAACTGATGCAATGATTGCGATGGATTTGGTCGACAAGAACGCGTCCGAAGGCGTTGGAGTCGATGTAACATTCTTTGAAACATCATAAATGACTTTTTCGCTTTCTGCTGGAATATCGAAATTATTTAAAGGCAAATACGCCTTATTTGTGGACAAAGTCATTGTTCCTGAAGGGTTTCTCATTAATCCTTTCTTCCACTTCGTCATTTCATAACAGGATTCGTGGAATGAAAAAGTAATCTGGTTTGCATTGGAAATAATACTTGGAATCGTATAATTAGTTCCTTCCTTGTATTCTTTGGCCAATTCCAAGCGAATTATGTCATATACTTCATTCTCAAAGTACAAAGATAAGGATTTAAACGGTTCAAAGCGAAAATGGACTCCAGAATTATCATAAATGGTGAAATTGTTACCACCAAGCAATATCTTCTTGAAGCTCTGCGAAAAATGAATCTCAGCATCGCATATCGAATTCAAAAAGAATCTAGAAAAGAGATGGAACTTTGGTTCATAAGCAATTAGATTCTTTGGCATGACCAAAATTTTATCCATGGTAACAATTGTTGTTCCCTTCATGATAATTAAATTATTAATTTTGAATTCTGACGAATTCTGCTTTTTCAAGGTCAAAATTGTGAAATTCAGGCAGAGCGGGTAACTTATTTCCTCATTACTATCCAAAACAATGGACATATACGACAAACCATTCGACATTACTGTTAATCTGTTGCATTCCAACTTCGCCAAGGCAGAAACCGAAATCGAGGGGGAGGAATACGAATTACTTTGGTCCACGTAAAACGTTATCGTCTTTGTAAGTTTATTTTTATGGAATTTCGCTATAGGAATTCTTTTATATTCGATTTCGTGGTAGTTTGGAGGACATTTGTTAGGACTTTCGGAGTGGAAACAGTAGTATCCTCCTTTGGACACTTCAACATTGTCAGTAATGTTGAAAATGTTGCTTGGCCATGACGGAGTAATTGAATAATAATGAATTTCTCTTGCATAAGTTCTAATTACAGATTTTGTTGATGAAGTAAGGTCAGGATTAAGAAATTCCCATGAATCTCCGAATATCACAACAGGATTCGATGTAAAACTGATGTTTGGAGCAAATGAAACTATTTGTGATCGACAATCTATCTTTAATTTATCAGAATGTATGATAAACTCAAACTTTGAACCTATATTTCTGGTAATTATGTACTTACTCTTACCAGAATTCAAAGAAACTTCACTTTTTCCAAATTCAATATTTTCTGCTTCGTCGAAATCAATTGTTACATCACGACCAACAGTTTCTTCTGATATATAATCTAACACTGACAATGAATCCCTGTTAATTTCAAGGTGGTTGACAGGATTAAACACTCCACCGTTAATTGAAGCGTTGTTGAACAGTAAAGATGAAACACAGACAGGAGAAAGAGATACCACGGACACTTGCATGTTCTCTATCAGTAGATATTGTATCAAATGAGTTGTAGATTTTAATAATGTAAATGATAATTTTGCTAAATAAGCATTTGGACATTTTTTGACTTTAATTGTCTTATTATCAAGATCTAGAACATCAATGTCGGGGAATTCTACGGATGATGTCTCTGATACTTCAATATTAATTGTATTTCCTTCATTTGGTTGAAGATTTGTAACCGGATGCTCTTTGATTGCATCTATGACTCTATACGTGGAACTGCATTGGTATGAATAGTTCGAATACGAGATACAATAAAATCCTGGTGATGTTTTTTCGGATTTGAATGAATTTATATTGGAAAACAGGTTCAAATCATCTGAATTTTTGTTGATTATTGTTGTATATTGTTCAGGGAGGTTTAAATATCCTTGATTTTGAATATTTTTCACTGGATAAATGTAATCCGCATGAATTAAGAACGAAACGTTTTCACTTTGATGGGTTGTTATGTTCGGAGTACAGGGTAATGACTCTGAATTCTCGTCTACGTGAATAAAAATATCATAATTTGCATTTGGTTTATCGAGGAGTATCGAGTAGTTCCTTTCTATATTTATATGGTGTTCACTTGAACATCTGATGGACTGCGACGCACTACTTATGAATAAAGAAATTTTTTCAAAGTCAAGTAAAGAAATTACCAAGCTGTTTATATTGTCAATCAGTTTCCATTCAGAATTGTAATATGATACTAAATCAATTGTTAGTGTTTTAATACTAATTGTACCTGGAACATAAAAAAATTTTACCTGGGAGAAAGTTGCTTGGTCTATATCTGCTTTATTGTTGATGGAACATGTTAAATAGTCAAGTTTTAACTCCGATACTTCCTTAGGAAGATCCAAATTCACAAAATCAACGAGACCTAATTTTATATCGATTTTCTGTATATCATTCATATAAAAATTCGCTTCAACACGAACATCAGGACATTTACGTATTATCACTTGCTTGTCAATTTTGTCATCGAAATGAAAATCTTTATCTTTTGATGGAGTAAACAGAAGCAATTCGAATCCATCAGGTGGATCTACTACTTCGTTACACATATACACCTTTCTCAGGCATAAACTATGCAAGAGAAGTAGTAACATGCTCAGAAATCTTTATGAATTGCTTTTAATTTAAAGTATCGTTACCAAATCAAATTTAATGCGAAAAAGTTGTATGATGGGATTTGTTAATCATGTTAGAATTCTGGACTATCAATTTTTTGAGCAAAATTTAATCATCGCTCTCAATTATTCAAAAATTCTTAATCCTCACGGTTGGAAAAAATAAGATTATTAAAATCATTTAAGATTTCAACGAAATAAACTGTCATTTGAATTATAATCTCAAAAATGAACCCCAGAACGTTTTATTCGGATCAGTAGTAGGATATGACGGGTTTTGTGACTTTTTTTGTTACATCTATATATAGACGATGCATTAAAATATATTTATTTATAAACCATTAAAAAAATTAAAGTTATTTTTAAAATAATTTATTTTTTTATTCTTACATAAATGACCCAACAAGTAAAACCAGATAAAATAGATTATCGAATTTTAGAGGATGGTGTTCCTGTTTATATTCAAAGATTTAAAGGGAAGCAATATTATAGAATTGTTAATCCTAAATATCTTAAACATCAATTTAAAAAGGAAGACTGTGAATTATTAAACGCTAATGAATATGAAAATGCTAAATCAAAACTGAGATATAAATATATTGGAAGTGATGAAAGGTGTAAAGATAAAGTTTATTCAGTTTCATATAATAACTGGCACACGTTAGGGATAAGAAAACATTTAGGAGATTATGGGAAATGTTCTGAATTCTTTAAATCTAGTATGTACGAGAGAGTAAAAGAAATTAGAAATAATTATTTTCATGAATAAAAGATTCACTACCATAATGAAATAAAAAATAATTTATTTTTTTATCTTTTATAAAAGAAGCTATATATAGATGATGTCAAATATTCCGTGATTAATTATTTTTGAATAACTGAAAGTGTCACCACGTCACCATGTCACCTGGTTAATTAACTTCTTTAAAAAATGATGACAACATGACATTTTGACAACAGGTATGAAAGGAGGTATAAATATAATGGAGTCATAATCAAAGACCCCATAAACGAGTAAAAGAATTTGATGAGTTCAACATAGAACTTTAAGAAACTAATGATTATTTGAATTTATGAAATCAATTATTTGATTCATTCTTTCTTCAATCTCTTCTATTCTTTTTGTTAAATCATCTATTTTCATTAATGAGGTGATTCTTGATTGAGGAATAGATTTCAAACTAATCACTCCTTTTATTTTTGAAATTTTGAATCCATCAACTTTAAACATTTTATTCAATTTACACGTTGTCAATTCTTCAAATAATTTTTTATTATTAGCATAATAGTCATTAAATTCTTCAACAGATGAAAAAATTTTTATTTCAGTAATTGGTTTAACAACGTTTATTTTTTGTTGAACATTTTCACTTTCATTTATTTCTTCCTCCTCTGTTTCATTTATTTTTAAAATCGGTTTCATTTATCATTAAATAAAAATTAGAATATAAGTGATGAAATATATTTTTTAATTAATATTAAATCAGAAATGGCGGCAGGATTCTTTAAAAAATTATGGATGGAATTAAGAAAGCTGCGGGTTGGGTTCATAAAAAGATTATTAAACCCGTTGCAAACTTTTTGGCACCAGTAGCGAAAACGGCAGGAACTATCATAGGTGGAGTATTAGGTACTAAAGCAGGTAATCCGGCGATGGGAGCACAAGCAGGTAACGCAATTGGTGGAATTGCTGAAGGAATACTTAATAAAATAGGAGGTAGATAGTGGAAAAATAAATATGAGATCCCGTGGATCATCTCGCCGCTTAGCAGCTTAAAATTATTTTTATCTTAGTATCGGTTGTAGTCTTTGATAAACTTTTTCTCCTTTATTTAAAACTTCTCTTATTGGGGCAGCTTTTGGTGTTATTGATTCAGCAACGTCACTAATTGCTTCTTTATTCTTAAATATCCAATTTGCCCCCTTCTTCAATGTTTCCCAAACTTTACTCGCTCCTCTTTTTACTCTATCCCATAGTTTCTTAAATATACCTGCAGCCATAGTTGATTATTTCATCAAAATTAAAAATTCATTTTCATCTTTTAATTTTGATTTTTTATTTATTAATAAATGACGACTAACTATTTGGTGCCAAACACTAAACCGATTAAGGATGGACACTCATTAGGGTGATGAAAAAAATCAAGTCTAGCAAATCAATATATTAAAAACAGTGAAGACTATTATATAGCATTATAGTGCACAAGCTCAAATATTTAGTGATGCATTTCTCGAACTTATTTTATTTATAAGTTAACCTTGAAACATGAATTTTAGTATATCATGAGCATATTTTTTTCTAATTTTGCAATACTTATAATATCATACCAGGATTCATGTGGAAGTCTAATATTTGGTATATAATATTCTTACAATAAATGTATTAATTCAATTATATTCAAAATGATGGGTCGCAATTTTTACTGAAATTGCAAATTTAATTTCAACAATGAAATTATTGTTTAAAAAAATAGCACAACAGCAAGATGGACAATCATATATCGAATTATAATGCTCCATATAATGCTTTGATTTGATGCGTATATAATGTTATTTTTCGAACATCTTTGTAAAAAATTGATTTTGGTAATTTTTGAAAAAATTCGATTTTATTTCGAGATTTCCTCTATAGGTGAAGTATATTGAACAATATTCCTATGGGAGAAAATAATTGTAAGTATGAGTACTTTCATTAATACTATGTGTGCCATGGTTATCGCTCAAACGATCAAGTTATATCTCGATTGCGTAAATTGAAATTTTGCTATTTTCTAAATTCACGGCAACAACATTCTTTTATCCTGATCGTACATCACAATATTTGAATGTGCGACCATTTGTTCAAGAAACCGTCAAGTTATTCTTCATTTTTCATGCCGCGGCGAACAAAAGCAGTTGCAAAGCGTATAAAGAACTTAGTTCAAAGCGCGAAAAATAGGGTAGAGCCATATGTCGTCAACACTGTTGAATTTGTGCTATCTGTATTATTGAGCGGCGCTACATTTTGCCAATCAGAATTTCAATTCATGCTGAATAACATCAAAGTTCCGTCAGAAGCTACATTTCATCGAGTCCAAGAAAAGGTTGGTCGTGTTATCATAGAAGTTGCCAGAGAATCTGTTAATTATTGGAAATCTCGAATGAGAAAATGTTCGGGACTTTTGTTTGACGGTTCTTGGAGTCAGAGAAGAAATGCAATGTTTTGCTATGTACAATTTGTAGAAGAGAAACTCAAAAAAATTGTAGATTGGGAAGTGATATCTAAATCTTTTAAAAATTTCAAAGGTAATTTCAACGGAAAATCAAATGAAATGGAATTTGAAGGCTTAAAAAGAATGCTGAAGCGTTGGAATAATGAAAAACGTGTAAATTTTTTTGTGCATGATGGCGATGTCAAAATTGTTTCTACAATCAAAAATACGTTCAAAGGTATCAGAGAATACAGAGATCCTGGACATTTTCTTAACAATATACAGAAAAAGCTCAAACTGCCAGAATTCAGAATCTTATCTAGCATTTCAAAGAATTTATTGCGTTGGCTTAGGCAACTTCTCAATGACACACATATGTCAATTAAAACAAAGAAGTTTTTATGGTTGAATTCCGCTAAACATTATGCCGGAAATCATAAATTTTGTCCAGATCCTGAAAAATGCAAGATGATTAAACCATGGAAATATGCAAAAAATAAAACTGCTATAAAAACACTTAAAAAATTCCTCAAAGATACCGTAAAAATCTTTGATATGGTAAAAAAGATTCATTCAACTCAAGTAGTTGAATCGATAAACCATATCAAAGCAATGCTTGCTAATAAAAATATTAATTGGCATGCTTCTTGGCCAATTAGGATG